CCCCAAAACCCCAAAACCCCAAAACCCCAAAACCCCAAAACCCCTCAAAGTGAAATTTGAAATAAAATTCTTAGTTTTATTCAAATATAATTAATAGTTGATAAATTAAAAAGAAGTAATATGTCGGTAAGTTATCTATCCTATAATTTGGTTTAGCTATCATCCAAATTCAGAAGTGACGCTGCAATCTACGCCAGAAGAGATTACGAAGAGGTATAGCTTGATACATTAATTAGTTTAGAAAATTTCCAAGCTCTCGAATGAATTAAGAGGAGACAAAAATCTTCTTCATAAAGCATTATGGGAACATAAAACTAACAACATCATCTAGAAGAATATTGTAATTTGATAATTGATAAAATGAAAATAGGTTAGAAACAGACTAGCTGATCTAAAAAAAAGAGAGGAATCAAATCTTGTTGAAAGACGCCAACGGTACATCACAAATCAATTAATCTGTTTATAGTCTAAAATTATTGCTTGATGCAGAGGATAAAATGTACGAATAAGAATTCATGGCAAATCTTGAAACTCCTGAGCAGGTCAGAGAGAAAATGGCATAGAGATTGTATGAATTAAAAGAGAGAAGAGAATAAGAAAGATAAGAGTAAGTCTAAAGAAAGCTAGAACAAAGATTTAGGGACAGTAAATATTGCAAATGATAATAATTATAATATAGCTACTGATGATGTTAGAAGAGAAGAATCTTAATTTGCAACCCATCATTGCCAATTCGAAAGAGAAAAGCAATTGATGGACAAGTAATAAAGAACTCAATAACAAATCATGGAGGAATAAATCTACGCCTAACTTTGGAAGCTCGATCTTCAGAAGAAAGAGGAAAGAGAGAGGTAAGAAGCTGAAGAAAAAAGAAGACTTGTTGGAGATACTATGTCTATCTTAGATTGGCAAAAAGAGACTAGATAACTTACTAAGCAATAAGAAAAGGATTTGACTGAGCAGGAAAAGTCAATGCTAGCTGCACAGTGGAAGAAGGAAGAGGAATATGAAAGAGAACTCGAGAGATAAAAGTTTGTTCTGAATCGTGAGAGAAATCTCGAATTAATCAGACACAACGAGGCTGAGAAAAAATTGAGGGAGGAATAACTCAGAGTTGAAAAAGAAAGAGATAAGCATATGCTAGGAAACGCTATTTCAAGAGAACAAGAAATTGAAAGGTTAGAGTAGGAGGAGAAACTTAAGAGAAGAGGAGAAGTTGTTGAGTTACAAAAATACTACCTCCAAAAGGCAGAAGACAAGAAAGCTGAGGAATAGTTGATTGAACATCTCACTTGGCTTTAATCAGAATAGCAATGGAAAATGAAAGAGGATAAATGGAGAAAGGAGGAGCAAGCAAGAGTTAATCTTATGAAGAATGTTTATGATCAAAGACTTCAAACTGTTGAGCTTAAGAAAAAGCTTCAGGACGAAGATTAATGGCTTGTACAAAATGAAAAGTAGAAACTAGATGCTGAACTTGAGAGATTAAATAGAGAGGCTGAAGAGAAGAAAACGAGAGAAGCTCTCAATAGAAAGAATTACCAAGGGGATGTACTCAGATAGGTAAATGAAAGAGATAGAGAGAAGAGAAGACTTCTCCAAGAGAAAATGTACGAGGAAAGAGCTGCTAAATTGGCTGAGATCAACTATGTTAAGAAGATTGATACCACAAAAGATGCCAATGCCCAAGTGCTTCAAGCCTGGAGGACCTAATATTAATGATTTAATGATTTTAGCAATTTATTTTAAGAACTTAAACATTTCATCTCGTACTGCTGCATTATATCTGATTTATAATTCGGGGTTTTGGGGTTTTGGGGTTTTGGGGTTTTGGGG